GAAGAACGTCTTGAAAAGGAAAGGGAACGCGAAGAAAAAGAGAAGCTTCGTAGAGAAAAAGAACGCAAAAGGGAGGAGGAACGCCTTGAAAAGGGAAGGGAGCGTCCCCCCCCCCCCCGTTCATCTACCTTAGAGTCCAGCTCCATCCAAATCTAACCATCCAAAAGTGTATCTGGCAAATTAGCAAACGTGCAGCCAATATTATATGTCATAATACGATTTCTATATCCTACTGTATGTTGTAAAAAATGCAATCTATATTTCTATTTATCTATTGCGTTTGTATTCGTTCACATGAAAAACATTTTTCTGGAGTTGTTTGTCCGTTTGCAAGGTTTACCTACATGAAGGTTCACCTGGTTCGTTCTGACCTTTTGCTGTTTCCACTTAATCTAAATAGCAACGGCAACGGCAGCGGCAGAAGAATCACTGCTAAAGTATTCGGGTTTGTTGTCTTCCTGTTTGTTCGCGCTTTTCTGCGAGCGTCTCTGTAATCTGACCTCAGCATCGGCCCGTCGATTTTCTATCTGCTCGTTAAATGATAACAACAGCGTTAGGATGGCTAGCTGTTGTCGGCTGTTTGTGTGGCCCTTATATTTTCAGATCCCGAACAGGAGTCAGTACGAACTCGATGGCCGCGCATGTGGTCATATATGGTCCAATCAACCCACTTGCTCGATCCAGTCTTCGAGTCAACGTTCGCCGCGCTCGACTACCGTTCGCCAGCGTTTCACAGCGTCTGGATGAATAGTCGACCCAGGCAAAGCATGGAAGGACCACGACCAACAACGGCCTGCATGTGATATCTCACTCCGAATTTTTTTTGTGGTTACGGAGCGCGGTATGCAGAAGAAAGAATAAAAAGTAAATCAAAAAGAATCTTTGAGTCAGCTAGCGGATGGCGGCGCGGTAGCAACTAGACATAGATTATTTCGGCTATAAATAAATTTTTCATATATATATATATATATATATATATATATATATATATATATATATATAGGGTATTACATATAACAGAACACTGACAACGGCAGGACCATGCGTCGAGTAAAGACTAGACTGTGTGAGTTTCGAAGGTACTACGAATAATCCGTTGACCTTAACTGTCTTACGAAAAAAATTGTCGCGTGCCATTGAAAGCCAACATAACAAATGGTAATGCAACACGCACATAGCGCTCTGTTCATATTTTCTGTTTTCTTCATAGATTCTATGTGAAACGGTTGCTGTTGCCCCTGTCGGTTGGTTCTTTTTTCTTTTACAAGTACACTCATTCATATCAAAACTCGGAATGGATAAGCCGTTGCTGTTGGACGTAAAGTCAACGTCATTTATACAAGCGCATCAGCGAACGGCGCTTATAATGTCACAATGAATTTGGGCAGGGGCAAATCGACGCGCTCAGGCACGCCAACGGTGTAACAATAGGCGCAACAAGCTCAGTTCTATTCATTGATGAACTGCGACAGAGAGTTTCTTCGAGTGTCAGCATCACTGCCCATTCCACACTCGTAATGGACATCAACCGAGTTACGTTGGAGATAATGGGGAAGAGTGGTGGCGAGATAGCCTCGTAGTTGTGGGCTCAAGAGTCACCTTCATAACGAAAACGAATAGACGATGGGCCGTTAGATAGACATATCGGACAGGGTCATTTGAGCATAAATGCATCCATGTATCGACAGTGGAACGACCGACGATAGCAGCAACATCAACTCGACAAACAGGCGCGTCTCAGTCCGGCTTACACGGCGTCTGATGGGTTGGGTATTGAGTGATGAGTATTTTCGTTTTGTTGTTCCACTTTTACAAATCTCTCTCTCTCTCTGCCATCCTCGAAAAAGTCCTGCGGGTTTGGTGGCGGCAGTGACGGCGAAAGAGGGGCAAATGGTCCATTTACAAGGAGTCTTTTCACTAGACTGCTGCTTCGGATGTTGCTGGTGCCATCATTTTGCTGATTTCGTGCTATGCGAACATTGGCACATCGGGAACGGTTAGATTCTCTCGCGATCAAAACGGCTAAGCGCTAGAAGAAGACGAAGCCCAATAAAGGAAATACGAAGATTACAGGTGAAAGATGGGCTTTGGCCTGCTTGTCCGCTTTTTAAACCGAGACAGAAGATGCAATAACAGAGAAAAACGGACAATACTCTATTGAACGTTCTTCCTCTCGTTAAACGTTGAACGTGCAGGGCACTCAACAGAAGATGACGAGCGTCATTGAGCGTAGAAGCCAACTCCTATGAATAGCAACGACAAAGCTGTTGCTGCTGTTGGGGCGGCGGTGACCGTAGCGAAGGTGGGGGCTCTTTGATCGGACGAACCGTTCAAACGGTTGTCTACGGTACAACGGCCAAACGGCTAAAACCTTCGACTTCAACGACAAGGACGAGCATATAGACACTCATTACATCCGCCGATTTTCTAGCTAGACGCGCTTATCTTCCTACAGCTGGAGGCAAACGAAGCGTTCGCATTCATGCGATTTGCCCAACGGTCACTGGGGAATGCACGCTGGGCCGTGGCCGTCAGGGGGAAGGACATAAGGGAAACATTTATTAACACGCGAAAAATACGATAGAGAAATTACAACGCTCTTTATAGCGTATAATTCCACGAAACCGTGAATTGGTTGGTTAGATTGTGACGTTAAACGAAGTAAGAAGAGCAAAACAGCGGCCCGTATGATTGAACAGCAGAAGCCACAGATCAGAAGCGAGGGCTGACTTTGAGTTTAAAAGGACGATTTTTTGTGAGTACAATAGCGCGATGATGCAGAACGTGTGCAATAACCGATAGGTCTATAATTATAATATTCGTTCTAGCTGTGCATTGTACGTTGAGAACAGGAATATATATCCAATCACTATTATTAATTAAATTAACATAGCAGTGGGTATCAGCACTCCCTGAATACTTGACAGTTGCACCGGACGTCAAACTTGGAACGTTTATCTTTGGTAGGTACTGGCAATTTGATCAGTAAGTTGTCATGCCCAGTGTATGCATCTATAAAACTACTCGTTTACGAGAGTGCTTTCAACTACAACGAAAACGAAGCGATGCCATATTTTTGTTATGTTCTCGTTTTTCTGTCTTCTGATAAATGCATGTTCCGTTTAAGCCACAGTAGTTCTACAGGCTTCGAGAGCGGGATGACATTGCTACGTCGACATCTACGCGTATCGGCATCAGTAATGAAACTAGCACTAGTAGTGTTATCAAGAGCAACAACAGTATTTAATTGAATCAATTGTACGGCACCCTGGGCAAAGTTGGTTGGCTTAGTCGTCAGCGTTACGTTCTCCTTTACTATCCAATAACCGCATTCCGCCGTCGTGAGGAACAAGGAGACATTGAAGTCATGGGCATAGCTATCAATCTTGCATTGACTGTCCTTCGTCCACCGTTTCGTTTGCCAGTTTCTCCTCGCACCATCGACTTTCTCCCAATCATTTGCTTTTGCCTACTATCAGCTAAACCTCATTTGTTATGGATATCCTGTTTGTGCGGAGAAGTATGACTGATCCGCCGACGTGGAGTATCCATTGGCTGCAAAAGTCACTCCGCTCACTTGTTTGATCGTTCACCTTGCAGTTCGCTCTATTTGACGTCAGTCGTATGATATTTTGTCTATTGCTTTACCATGTGCAGCGTCCTGCCTAGTCACTACCGCTATTGCGGTTATACAATTCCTCTATGGCTATTGGTGGTGCTGCTACTGCAAACGCTACTAGTACGGGTAGCTAGTAAAATAACGACTGCCCTAACGACCAACAATGGCGGCAGCGAGAGTTTCGCCGGGAGAGCGTTGGCACCTGGTGAAAGATCCCTAGGCGTATCATCATTGTTCTATTGTATCGTGCCGTTGTCTTGTTGGCAGGTTGGCCATTCGTGTCGCCAATTTTTAAATGGTAGTTACATGGGTCGTTGTGACTGCTATAACACTCCTAGCAGATAGTCGTTGTACCCCATAGCTTAATCTGAGATTTTGCACACGTCAGTTACTCTGACAAGCGGGCGAAAGCAACGACAGTAAGTTGCGGTAAGTATTACTGCGGAATTAGTTCCGCACTTAGCTGACTGACGTTGGTGGCAGGTTTGCTTTTTGAGCTTAACAAACGCGGGCAACGGGTGCCCGATACGCCAGATTAACGGCTGGGCCTTCGACATCTGTAGGCATCTGCAGTCGCAGTGACAGAATGATGCTGTAGTGACGTAAAGCACAGGTAGAGTTAATAGGAAATAGTTAGTAAAACTATTTAAGTACTCAACTAATCCCTGTGTATTGTATTATGTTACAACGTCTATTTGATGGGTATGGGAGCAACCCGCATGACAAAGCTGCCACTGTACCCTTCTACAGAGAATCCAATCAGCTAGCCCCCGTTTCAGCATGTGCGGATGCCGTCCTCTTCCTAATTATATGTGCCGTGTGCATAATATCATTAACTGACTTAGGCGAACTACACTAAGCGAGTGGCCAGCTGCTGTTATTATTCTGACGACCCATTCCTGCTCCAGTTGATGATAAAAATCTAGTTAGAGGATAAATAAATAAATAAAGGAAACGATATAGATGAAGAGTAGTAAAACGCAAAGCGACCGAATAGGTCGTGTTGCACATTCGGGCGGACGAAGCGCAGCAAACTAGTGCCATTCTGCTGATGATTGATACATCGCGAAAAAAGGAAAGCAGGGACTTGTGGCAAGAGCAGCTATAGTATGAAGCGGTCAATCAATATGTTTGTGCACGCGTAGACATTATGTCGATGTATGTACGTAGGAACAGCAGACAGCGCACAAGAGTGAATAACAGAGGCTGTTTGCGGCGGGTGGGGTAAAACCAGACGTCGAAATAAACCTGTGTTCAATTTCGTACTGGTGTAGGATCATTTGTATTGCGGCCTAGTGCTCAAGTGGTTAAGAGGACGTGAAAACAATACCGACGGATTAGTGTGTAGCTGACTGCGTGAGCTGATATTTTGACACGAATCACCGGAAAAAAACAATAACAAAAAAGTTTCGTTGTGTTACATTAATGATTTGCTCACAATCAAATGCATGTCCTTCAATGAGCATCACCACGTCGTTAAGGAACGTATTGAATTTGTATCGACTATGTTTTTGTCGCCACAGGATACGTGTCGATATTTCGTGGAATTGTTTGTTTTTTTCTTTTCAAAATCTTCTACGTCGGTCGATTTTGTTCCTCTTGAACATTCATTCAGCCTCCAGCCTTCCTATCGCTTTTGCTTGTGGCCCTTATGTGTATGGTGTAAAGCTGCTCGCTTTCACGGTCCTGAGTCTAGCGCATGCATACAGGAAGCTGCCCGAGAGCATTCGATCATAGAAAAGACTGAGTGCTATTCGAGCGCTCTGTCCGGCAGCTCGGGTAAAGAGCTCAGTCAGTTATTACGCAAAGACATTTACGCAATGTCAGAGCCTTAGTACAATTGTGGACGACTAGATTAAACTATGTCGGTGGCAGTTGGATTGTTCCACGCGCGCGCGCGCATACGAATATTTGGTGATATTATATGACCTACTTGTAAACACCGGGAGGTATTTACAAGTAGGTCATATTCGAACAAAAGATTATCTAATAGGAAGGCTCTTCCGTCGGTCAGTTAGCAACAATACTGACGTATTTGATCAGGTTTTCGTTTGCTAGCCGCATGACGAAGAGTTGGTTACCTTGAACCAGATAAACTTTGACGCTATTCCATATCATGGCGTCTTCATAAGGTGTTTAGGGATGCGTTATTGTTGAACATCATGATCCTTTTATGCTTGCTGCATCGCCGATCTGCAGTGGTAGAGAAGTGTTTGTTTCGTTCGGGACTACGTACCGCTCGGTTCTTTCCCGCGTCACATCCTTCCGTATCATCGCATTTATCGTCTGCGCCGCAATAACTTGGGCTATCTCTACAACGGTGCAGAATATATTAGCGCTTGCTTCAGGCGTCAGCTACTCCTAGCACAAGATCAACGCCGTCTTTGGTGACTGCTCCTAGCTGTGCTGGTGCTGGGGCGAATATTGTATTGCCCTCCTTAGCTTTTACCCTGTTCCTGCTTGATACTGTGGCGTTCTGTTCTTCATCGACAATATCTTCTTGGTCCTTTCATTCTCTCAACGGGGGCCTGTTCTTGTTGGCTTCAAGGTCTACTCAGACGCCTACCTCTGTTCCAAGCAACAAAGAGCGTTGTCTACTACTCTACCCATTGGTGGCGTGCGGACGGAGTCGGTGCGGCCTACTGGTCCAGCCGATACTGGATTTTGGGTCTACTGCGTCGCAGAAAAGAGTACACATCAGACCAGCTCAGCTCGCTCGCCCCAAACGCTTATGGGCTGCTTCTGAGATCTCTCCCTAAGCTTCTAATGGATCGAAGTTACTCGCTGGCTCGTTCACCATTGAAGAAGAAAGAGAAAGATTGTATGTGTCGGGGAGAAGGGACTTTACAGCATATTACATTAGCATGTTCATCTAATGTAGAGCATTTAGCAGGGCGCATTGTTAACCTGTTGTTATTGCTATCAACGTTAATTGCTGGGTTGATGTCGGATAGTCCGTTGCCACAGTTGTTGACCCACGTCACTCTGACCTCCACGTTGTGATTACAGTATCCTGACCTGTTGAGGTAGCAGAAACAAATAAAGTGCTAGTTTTGACCCGCCGCAGATGGCTATGGTGAATAATACAGCTTGCGTAAGCCAAGCCTCACTGCAGGACCATAGGGTCACAAAATTATTTCATTTGTACTGCTGTTGTCAAACGACGACAATGATCTTACCCACTAGGCCACTTGATCACTCCACGATCCTGCTTCATCGCGCATGACACTATTGTACATTGCCCATACACAGGCAGGTCTCCAAAACACGACCGCGGCAAAGGCTGAGTGTCGCTGCAGCTGTGGATACAGTTTTCCACTCTTATTTAAAGAGTGACACAGGTGACCGTAGTTGATTTTGGCTTGCGCGCATAGCTTACGCGGGCTCCTTTTTTCCTTCTGTTCGCTTGCTTCCTTTGTCTTTGTGATGCCGATGGAGGTACTGCCGCCGACCCTGCTCATAGATCGACGTCGCATGGTGGCCAATGGTTTTTGGTGGCGGCTACCTCGCTAGCCAGTTCTACGGCGTCGTGGCGAACGAAATCAAAGAACTGTCGGCAGAGAGAAAGAAGGCTGAGCGACGCTTAGGATATTAGTGAAATGAACCGAATAAAAATCAGGGAGGATGGTTCTTTCTGAAGACGGTTCTTAAACAGGAACCTGGCAGCGAATCTTTCCCAGTCGTTCGCAGTCATTTGTTCGAAGTCATGTCTTCATTAGTGGGCATAGTGGGTACTCCGTATTCTAGGTGCAGGCGCTGATGCAGGGAATTGAAGGTTACATCTAATCTAAAGTTCTACCGTATCGAAATTTATATATATATATATATATATATATACATATATATATATATATATATATACATATATATATATATATATATATATATTATTTTACTAAAACTCTGTGTTCGTCAGCAAATGGGCTCTCTGATACGGTCAGATTGGGTTAATGTGTCCAGTGTCGGAAGAGTTTTCTCTTGGAAAAATATGCATGTAGGGTGGAAGTTTCCAGGGGAGACTGTTTCTACCCCGTGGAGTGTAACGTAAATATGCGCAAATTAAGCGTTTTCTTTAAATATGCTCAATAGCTGCTGTTAATATTGGGAACTTATTTGTTTTTAAAACCCTTCAAACTACGCGCACAGTTAGATTAAAGGGAAAAATCGTCTATTTTGAGCTCGGTGCTTTTAAAGGGTTTTTTTTTCTCTTCTGGAGAAGGCTAATCCGCGAAATGGTTGATGAAATCTTAGGTGAGTTCGACATATTCAATATAATACTCTCCTCGATTAGATCAATACGGTTTCGAATGAAAGAAGAAAAAAAAGTTAAACGAGTAAAACAGGATAAATTCAACAATATTGTGACTGTAGCTCTATTTCAATCGGAGATAGGGAACTACCGGAGAAAGTTACTGGGCCAAGGTCCTAGACCGTAGTACTGCGCCCCACTAAAAGTCAATTTTGTATGCGTTAATTAATTTAAGTATGTATTGCTAGTTTTTGAATCCATGTCAGCCGTTTTCGGTCCAAGCAGTAGATTGCGTCTAGTAAATAAGTTACTAGGGCATTCTAGCAGAGTAATCAATCATTGCTGGAACAGGATAATTATTGAATAACCGTATCAAACAGACGGTGTTACTAGATAGGATAGAATAGAAAGACATCAATTTAACCGAAGATTATGTTAAAATGTTATAAAATTTCAACAATTGGACGTTCGTTACGTTATTGTAGTTCAGAAGAGTGCAACAAGTTATGTTAGGGGTTGAAGGCAAACCACACAAAATATTACAGTGGACTGATAAAATAGCTTTAACCTGATGGCATTCCAATAAAAAAACGCGATACATGAAGCAGAGTTCCTGCGACGAGATAGCTGAGAATAACGCAGTAATCCTACAAAATTCAATTACAACGGAATTGCTCTAATGATGTATATCTACAATCAAGCTACAGTTTGTTTAACTAGAGCAAGTTAATAAAGTAACTGCAAAACGGTAACGAGCAATGGGATAGCTGCTGGTGTAAAGCATGATTTAAGCTAGGCTGGGTGTAACATCAGTAAATCAGATTAGTCAAATCAAAGCCAAACTAGACCCGGGGCGAAGCCCGTAGGTCCATCCAGTAACGTACTAGGGCCAAGCACGACTGCAACAAGCATTACTTAATAATAAAAGTGATAGAGGGGTTTTAGTCATCATGAGCAAAAGGATAATAAGCCCGATTTAACGTGCCCCACCATTACCTGTGGTCAATCTAGATTTCCATTGTACCAGTGGAACGTATTGGCTCTGTTCTCTTGGCAAAGTGATAATGGACAATAATTTGTTGAGATAAATATTTTCATTTCCTGACTACAGTATCTTTTTACCTTTCCAATTCGTCCGGAAACATTTCCAAACGATTTGTATTATTTTCATCGCTTTGACTTAATTCTACATATCATATATATGTATAT